ATGGTGTGCGTGTGAAAAACTATCTATTAATGATTGGTAGATTAAAAACAATTCCAACAAAGATGTTGTGTATTATACATATTAGTGAGTTGTGATATAAGTTGGATATGTAGCGCACATATATAAGGCTTATCTTTCTAGTTAAACATGTGTCCTACCAATTGGACATGTGTTGGAGGTTCTATAGAACGTTGCATATCTACCATCTTTAATTATGGTTACAAATACAAAAAAATATAATTAAAAAAATCATAATTATATCATTAATTTTCTTTGTATTTGTATTTAGAATTCTTAATCAGATAGTATATATAAAACAAGAGTGAAACCTTCACTCTTGTCAATTCTTTTCTTACTTCTAGTCTAGTTTTAAAAGTCTCTAATTTTTTTGTCTTTTGGCAATAGCCATTCCAATTTTTTCTTGACTATATATATATTTAAGTTATTTTTTATTTTTTTATTTACATTCTTTGAGTTTCTATCTTTAACATCTATAGATTATTAAATATTTTGATAGAAATTTAAAATTTTAATATTTTTTTATATCTATTTTATTACATTATAGAAAAATAAATTGTTGCATAGTTGTTGTTCTATCTTTATAAATAATTTGCAACATCATGGAACCATATCCTATACTATTAGATCATATTAGTGATTAATTTAATATTTTTTTTATTGTCATCATGTTTTTATTTTATTATATTTATGATAATTTTGTTTAACTATGTTGATTTTATCAAAGAAAATCAATTCATTAAATTTTTTTATTAGTTCTAGCATCTTATAATGATTTAATTTGGTATTATTTGCTATATAAAAATTAGAAAAAAATGTTTTTTATTTATAAAAATAAATTTTAAAAAAATTATCTAAAATTGTACTGAAAATATAATCTAGGAAATAAAAAAATAAAACATAATAGATTTAAAAATATATTTTTTGTCAAATCAAAACTAATGTGCAGAGGTATAATACACACAACAAGAACACATTAAGAAAAATCTACATTTATTTTAGAATCACATCAAAGTCAGTTTTTAAATTCATAAATCAAACCTACTAAAATAAAATAAAAAATTCGATGAGTCCAAAAAAATCTACAATGAAAAATTAAAAACCAAATCTTAAGAATAAAAGAAACCTTTTTAGAGTTTTTAATAATTTAAAAAAATGAAGTATTTAAAATTTTACTTTTGAAATTCCTATTGATTAGAAAAATAGATTCATTTTAATTGTAAAAGTTAGTGATTTTGATTTTTTTCATAAAATAGATACTAATATAAATATATATATATATATATATATATATATATATATATGTATATATAAGAAACAATTAATTTTAAATTTTAATCCTTCTGATTTTATAATATATTTTATTTAATCTAACTCAAAGAAATGTTAAAATATAACTAAATTATGAATTAAGAATACTTATCTATTTTAGAAAAGATACGTTTTTTATATTTAAATTTAATACTACTAATTTTTTTTACTTTCTTATTATCATTGAGAGTAATGTCAATAATAAATATATGATTATCTATTACTGATAGAATTTAAAATATATATTTTAAACTCATGCTCAAATAAATGTGTGTATATTAATAAAATTAATATTTTATAATACTCAAAAAAATTGTCTTTAAGTTTATATTATAAAATTTATATTTTCTATTAACAATTTTATTTGTATAAATTTTTTTTAGTATATATATATATATACATATAAGTATAAATGTATGTAAATGAAAACATTAAAAAAATTATTTTGATAGTCTTTTAAGTTACAAGTTTGTTACTTATTCAAGTACAAAGACATATTTATTAAAATTTTAACCTTTTATGTTTCTTTATGAATGGAATTAATAATTTTTTAAGACTTTAAAACCCTCTTTTCAATCCCAACTTTTACAAAGACAATATCTTTATTTAAAAAGCAATACAAAGCAAAGATGCATTTGATATTTTGGTGCTTGTGATTTCTTATGAATTACAAGAAAAACCAATAATATAATGTTAAGATGAGTTAAAAGAAAAAAATTCCAATTTTGAGGAAGATCAAAAATATAATCAATATATATTTAATATTTCATAATAAAAAACTATATATATGACTAATATTCTTTATATTACAAAAAATATTTAAAATATATACATTAATTCATTAAAAAAAATTAAAATATATATATCATTTATATCAAAGTATTAATATTTGTAAAAAAAACCAAGACATTAGTCTAATCTTGTTCATAAGAAGATGTTATTATTAATTTTATTATTATGATTATATTTCTAATTTTATATTTTATATTACATCTAAGTATTGCAAGTATCAAATAATTAATGTAATGAATAATAATTGTCTAAAATTATCAAGAATCATTCAAAACTTTCCATATAAAGCTCATAGTTGGATTAACTCACTAAACAACAAATGCACTAAGCAATCTATACATCACTTAGTGCTTCTAGTTGTGTTGTTTTGTTTAATTGAAAACCAGATTGTGTCTTAAATTTTGGTCTCATGATCTATTTTAATAGAGATAATTTAATCCACTAATAAAAATAAAATAAAATTTTAATTTTATATAAAGAAATAGAAAATTTAATATTTTTTAAAGTTATATTAAAATCAATAATACTTATAGATCAATAATTAAAATAACTTTAAAAATGCAACATCTATTGAACATATAGAATAAATATAGTCTTCTTAAAAAAAAATCAAATCTTTATGTTGATTAAGAACAATATGGTAATTTGCTAAAAACATTAGATAATACTTTTAAGACAAACATGTAAGAAAATTTGAAAAAATATACATATTCTACTAAAACAAAATACAATCTTTAAAATAAAATCTAATAAAGTTAAAATCAATACCAAATATATACTAATTCTTTTTTGATTGCTTAATTGAAAAAATATATGAAATTTTAGTTGAAAACTTTAAAAATTAAAAATCTTTGTAATACTCTGATATTTGAATTAGAAAAATCTGCTAAAATATAATTGATGTCAATATTTACATCAAACTTCAATAATTTTATCATTTATAGAGTTCTAAGTATACGAATGGATATCCAAAACTATACTTCAAGATATAAAGATATAATAAATAATAAGAAGTTGCTATAACAATATCCCTATATTGTTAATGCAACACCTTCTTAAGTTCTCATGATTAATTTAGTTTATTGTTAGTCATCTTTTCCTATACCTAGCTCTTGTCCTTATTATCAATCCATGTCTACCATCTTGATCCCCTCGTCTCCATTTTCTATTTTCCATTCTTAGCTTCTATTTCTCCTCTTTCCCTCCACGTCTCTATTCCGAATGCCTATCTCTTGTTTTCATTCCTTATCATTGTAGATGGCAACATAACCTTTATTTATTCATAAAATTATTTTTTGACTAAAACATAGTTGATGTTGGATTGCAATCTTCTTATTGCAATTAAAAGATGATATGTATTGTTTAATTTAGACATTGTTGGATTATTTAAATTGTGTTTTGGGTACATATAGAATCTAAAATTCCCAAATGAAATTTAAAATATATAAGTCTTTTAAAATAGACATTATGTGTAAAATCCATGACTAAAAGTTTTGGAATTTATGGTTGGTTATCCAAGTAAGAAACATGAATTGCTTTGAAATTTGTATATCATTTTCTTTAAAATGAGAATGGAAACGTAGGAGGGGCGCTAGGAACAACAATTGTCAAGAGTTAGGACAAGGAAAGGGCACTAGGAACAAGGACTAAGAATAGATAGAGGAAACTAGAGATAGACTAAATTAATTATGAGAAATTAAGGTGATGTTGCATTAATAATATAGAGGTGTTACTTTAGCGACTCTCCAAATGATATTAAAAATAATAATTAAAACTCATATGTATATATCATTTACAATAGAAACATCAGTAAACTATATAGATGTATGATATAGATAGTATAATTATCTTTCATTATTAATTGATTTTATAATAATGACTAAATAAATTACTTGAGAATGATGCAATATATATATATATATATATATATATATATATATATTGCTATAATTTATAAATTATAATTACTATCTTATAAATATATATATATATATATATATCTAAACCTACATATATATACATAGAAGTTGAGGCATCATTGTTGTCAATTAATATATAATATATTGACTTTAATTTAAGCAATTTGTAAGTATAAAAAGCAATTTATGTACAAACAACATTTATAAGATATCACAATGTCTCTTTCTTTGTATTTGTGAGCATATATATATATATATATATATATTCACATTCATTCCTATATACACATTTATAAAATATAAAAAAGTAAACACCTTCACATTTAAAAAAATGAAAAATAAATGAAAAATAAATATCACAGAAAAAAAAATGTTCACCTTTATAACAAACAATAATCACAATCAACCACGACAAAACATGCAGCAGTTACATTTATTTGAACCCACTTAAAATTAGTAAAATTCATAAATTATATCTCAATAAAACTATAAATAAAGAACATGTCATAAAGAGTTGAATTATTGCTTGAATATCCAAAAACAAACAACTAAACTTAAGTTAATAATCTTTCCACATTAAGTACTGAGATGTGCTTATCAGCAAAAAACATCTTCGTCCCACACAAAACTACAGTACAACTCAGCTCATATCCGACTAAAATCCTATCCAGGATGAATCTAATCAAACGTTTATTTCAAATACAGCATTAAACGATATCGGTAATTAACAGAATTCTCCTTGAAATAATTCTTTGAACATGATATAATCGTCATCGTGTCAATTAAAACCGCCACCACAGAAAAGACCTCAAATATTAAGAATTGCAAACCCCACAATGCGACATAATACTTCCCACCACAACTGCATTGCAAGATCCCGTGGAACATGAACCCTAAACCATGGCCAAAAAAACACCATTACCGGAAACCACGCAATGATCAATCAATACAAGATTTCGCAGTCGTTGCTGCGATTCGAAGCTTGAGATCGAAGCTTTCTCGTTGTCCATCAGCGTTCTCAAAACGACGGCGGGATTGTCAGAGGATTTGGGAAGAGTCGCTCCCTGAGCTCGGAATCGTTGCTGCAACGGGAGGTTTCGGGCGGAGATTGGCGCCTGGGCATTTGGGACCGAGGGTCGACGATATGGTGCAGTTTGCGAGTGAAGAGGCGCGGGAATGGAGAGAAGCGCTGGATGCGTACGAGGACAGGCTGCGAGCCATAGCGGATCCGAAGCTCGTGGAGCTGGATACGTTTTATCGTGTGGAGCTGCCCGCGGTGGTGGCCGAGCGGCGGCCGGAGGCGCACATCTCGCAGCCCGAGCTCGCGAAGATCATGGACTGGAAGCTGAGTCGCGGGAAATGGAGGTACACAAATGTTATGCTGGCGATCTTTGCTCATGTCTGCTTGATCTGAAGGTGCATTTTCGAAGCTTCGGGTTGAATTTTGCGCCCAGTGCGGCGTTCGCTTTGAAATGCTATCTGGACGCACCCGAAGGAAGACTCCGCGTGTTGCATGTTGGAACCTGTGAACGTATTGCGACACCCGAATAGAATTTGAGAGGATCGAACTCCTCGCGAACGTTGTCCCATTTCGTTACAGTCATGTTCGAATTTCGACGGACTCTCATCTTCTGTTTGCAAATGATCGCGAGCAGGGCTCGACTGCAGAGCTTCGTGGCGGGCCTTAGCGATGACGAGGTGCGGGCGGCATCGCGGAAAGCATTTGCGGCACTTCCGAACCTGAAAGAAGCCATCGCCCAGCTCTCTGTGCTCAAGGGTGTAGGACCTGCAACTGCATCGGCCGTGCTGGCCGCATATGCGCCTGCTGAAGCCCCATTCATGTCCGATGAGGTAAGGCCCCGAGACCTCGTGACGGTCAATGTCGGAACATGACCTCGCAATCTAGCGAAAAGTGTGCCTTCGATTATAATTGTCAATCTCCTCTCTACATGTTACTTCTCAAGCTCTGGCGAGGCAGACATCAGCGAGATCCTGCGATGGTTAAAATTGGATGATTCACCACCGTCTAGATGCCTTGGAAGTCTGAATTCTGGAGCCATTTCCCTCGCGTCTCATCGTGATGTGTACTGGAGAGAATTGGAAGCCGTGACACCCTTGCCATTGCAGGCTATGGTTGCTGCGGCAGGGAGTACCAAAGACTATACGCTGAAGTCGTACCTTGCCTTCGCAGACAAGCTCCGGGAAAAAGCGCATGTACGCCTCCACGCATATTTTTGTTGTGATGAGTGCGCAATTTCAGTTCACTAGACGATCGCGGAATGCGGCGTTCCTTCTGAGCCACGTGGATTCCTGCTAGAATACATGCCTACTTTGTGAATTCTCGAAATGGAAGCACAAGCTTGGCTTAAAATGTGCATCTTAGACTATTCACATGAACCAGTGTGCTGATTCTCACTAGACGTAATCTGCCTTCAGGAGCTCAGCAAATCAGGTGAGACTATGGAGAACTTTACGCCCTCGGATGTCGAGAGAGCTCTGTGGTCGACTGCAGCTGCGAGCATGCCAAGAAAGACCTCCAAGTCCGCCACGGCAGGTGCTTCAGCCACAACCAAGAGCGTGAAGAGGAAAAGAGGGACCTAATGGATGGCATCGATGTTCTGTCTCAGTTCTTTCCACGCGCAGCGTCCCAGGGATCTACCACTGGTTCCCTCAGGTCCTGTGGTCTGCGAGTTGCGTGATGTGAACATAGACTCGTCGAAATCGGTACCTGCATGAGAACAGGATCATGCCGTGGATCGAGAGCTTCGGGAGGGGACGTGATGGCTACACCAACCTCAAGGCTTGTGGAGTCTATGTGAGTCGAAGAGGGGCTTTTGCGGAGCATCTCTCATTCTGTGCAAGTTAAATCGATCTGCGCCAGACGTTCCGCTGAAGCCTGCTCGATAGGCCAAACTCAACACCCAGTACGATGAGCACGAGTGAAAGTAAATAGCAAATGCGGATTGTTATGAACTACCTAGCCATGCGTGTACTCTCATCACTGGTTGGTAACATGTAGCTAACATATGAGGCCTTAGTTGCGCCAGGCTTGTGATAAACCATTTGCTGCGTCCCGAGTGGTCGTCGCCCAGTAATCGAAACAGTTTTGCCTCACAATGCCACAGAAATTTCCAAATTAGACAAAGTATGTTAATTAAGCTTGCGTTGAGCACAACCAACGCCTCCGACCACTTGGAACGTCCCAGTGCGGAAGCGCTATTCGACAGGCCAGCGTGGCGATAGCACGGTGATGTATGCGACGCTGTTGAAGGCACGTCAACGGCCTAAAATTTCCACATATCAGAACCGCGGCGAGGCCAATCTGAGTGAGTCCAAGCAATGCGTATTTGGCACACGAAGAAGTACTACGGTGCAATCTATTTCACTCTCGTGAAAATGCTGTACATAGCCAGTGATTCATGCAGTTCGCAAAAGGCCTACTCGATCAGCTAACTCATCGTGTTGCTTCTTCAAGCAAGCTTCTTTTCCATCAGCAGACTGCTAGCAAAGTCGAGATCAAAATTCTGAGAAGGTGGATCCCCGATGCAGGGGAATACGGCATCGGCTTCGCTGAAGTCCTCGTTCTCGGTGTACCCGCTCTTGGTCACTATGCACACCATGCCGGCTGCCTTAGCAGACGTCACCCCGATGTGGCTATCCTCGATCACCACACACTTCTCCGGCTGCACATTCAGAGTGGTCGCAGCGAGCTGATAAATGGCGGGATCCGGCTTTTTCTTGGGAACCACGTCGCCGGCGAAAATCTTCATGGCGGCCGCGCGCTTATCCCCGAGCATCACGCGCACGATTGCCGACACAGCCCTCTCGTTGGAGGTGCTGCACACCGCAACCTGCACGCCCTTGTCCAGAGCTTGATCGATCAGCGACGCCACCCCGGGCCGCAATGGCAGCTGCCCGGTCTCCACCAGATCCATAAACAAGTCCGTTTTCCGCTTGTGCAGGCCCGCCACGAAGTCCTTGCGCTGCGCTTCCTCCACGGACGCGGGCCATCCCACGCCGTTGAAGTAATGCGTCATCCGCTCTTTACCACCCCCAATCTCCAGAAGCTTCCCGTACAGCGCCACATCCCACGCCACTTGCAGTCCCTTCTCTTCGAACGCCTTGTTGAAGCTGATTCTGTGCCCGTCGCGCTCCGTGTCCACCAAGACGCCATCGCAATCGAACAGCAATGCGTCAGGCAAAGCGGACACCACCTTCATCCGCCATGCGCCATTCCTCTGCAACCTCCCTGCGTGTGCGACCAATCTGCAGCTGCTAAATTTTCCGCCGCGGAAGAAGCCACAATTGGAGCTGGAGGAGGTGGTGACGGCCGGCGAGGCGAACAAAACGGATTGCAAGGTCGCCATCCCCGCCATGGACATTGCGGAATTGCAAAATTGCTTCCAGAGGCGCAGAAGACAGACACAGCGTTGTGCTTGGGCACAGCCAGTGCCACACATGCGTTGGATGATTCCTGGCGCGTGCATTCGCCGAACTGGATAAATGTCGTGGATGTTGTGTGTATGGTGGGAACCCTGGCCTCCACGCAACTGGCGATGCCCAGGCAGTACCTGATTGATATCCGTCTCTGATTCAGTTTGGGCCTTGTCCTCCAGCCACGAACTCTGGTGACTAATTCACATTCATTGTTGGATGAATGTTTTGAAACAAGAGGCGCAAAACACATTGATTCGTATTTCTTGCCAAATTTTGTTGATGTTAGATTATTTGCATAGCCTTGATCTCATCTAGCTGCGAAACGGCAAGCGCGACACCGAGCGAAGGAAGAGATAAATGCTTCAGCATTCGCAGACGACAGTGAGAGGTCGAAGGAATGGAGCTCTCTAGCCAAATAAACCGACGGCGAGACGGCATTGAGTTCGGAACGACTCGCAATCTTTGAAACAAGCAGATGTGTAAGCATAGCAGTCCGAACCGCGACCAGTTTTCCTGGTCTATTTATATATTTCACCGATTTGACAATTTCACATCACGACGTGCAGCGATGCTTGTGAACATGCGGAGGTCAAGAAATACCTGTTGAGTGATAATGATTATGTTGAATCACCTAATGTCAGAATTATTGAAGTTTAGGGGATTGTGTGTTGTTGTTTGAATGTACGGTTGTTACACATGAGCACTTCTTTGTGTACATAATACCTTAAAACCATTGCCGCGGAGATTATTATAGAGATTTGTCGCTTGCTTGAATTGCAGGAATTTGTTCGCTGGTGCTTAATTCGCCAGTTGCTGAGTCTCTCATCTCAAATGTCTTAGGCAAAGCTTGGTAATTGATGAAGTTGCGGTCTCTGGATCTTGTCCTCTTCCAAAGCATGATGTTGAGAAGCTTATCGGTTTCCTCTACATTCAGGTTTGCAGCCAAAGCTCAGGCTCTGCTCTGAGAGTATAACGATGTTTGATGTCCATTACATCAACCCAATTTGTGATCTTTTAAGCGCGCAAAATGTTCATGCGAAATGTAGATGATTATATGTCGATATCCCCGGCCCGCTGAAGCTTACTATCCAGTCTATTTGCAATCAGCAATGTGGCTATGTTCTGATTCTAGGGGTTTTAGGGAGAAAGCACTATGTTAGTTCTGAACATCACCCACTCTAAGTCTCTGGCGATCTGGCCACAGATTGTAATCGTATTTGTAGTAGTAGGGCAGTGATTCATGAAGGAATCTTTGTCGTCATTTCACTGACCATCTTCTGTTGGTCTTCCGTTCGCACCTTCGCTGTGATATAATGAGTCTTTTTGATGTGGTTTCCAGCAATGTCTAACTGAAAATGACAATGTGCAGGCCGTCATCCTCTTCACCGTTTTAGTATCAGGTATCCGTTGCATGAAAGCAGTCAAATCACCTGCTCGTTTTGAGGCAGCGAAGGAGCAGCGAGGAACCCGGCCTTGACTTTGAGAAGCATTCCTCCTAAATTAGAAAAACTTAAAACCAAAGAAGTTCTCAGTTAAGTTTCAGACCGATAGCTCAGCCCATACTGTCAACAGTGTGATTGCAAATGAGAACGCACTTTAGATTGCAAATGAACAAATTTAGTGTATTAAGCAAACCCTTTCTCCATGCGTGCACAGCGTTTGAAAAATGTACAATTTATACACCTTGTGGTCTCATGAGAGTCGGCTGCTGCACAGCTGGATTCCTATTCCAATCTGGAGCCTGGTCAGAACGTTTTGGAAATTATCATCTATGGATTTCTACATCTGCAGTTGTGAAATGCGTGTTTCTTCCTCTCACTGATGAGATAAGTCTGTTGCATTGCATGGTAAAGACCTGTTTCATTCCGGTCATGAATCAAAGTCTACACTTTCCCAAGAGGATATCGCTTTGCATTTATACTCCGAAGATGTCATGTTGTATGGCCCTCTGTCCCGTTATTTGCATGTGCTAAATTTTAGACCCGGTTCGAGAAATTAGAATGTAAGCATCGCAGCATTTAGTGTGTTCAGCAAAATTAGTTTTAATCATTTTGTTGAAACATCTGCCGAGCTAACCTAAAATGGCTAATTCGGTCCCATATCTATCACTTTGAGCTCATTCATCGTGTCGCGAGGTTTCTTCTTTCATTCTACAGCCGAATTGTCGAGCGGTGTGAAGCAGCTTGCAAGCAGGTTAGGGCAACAATTTTGAGCTTGAGAAGGTAAGGATTCCTGATACATTTGCTGACAGTTCGTGCGCTTAAGTCGTCGCTGACCCATGACAAAGCACAGTGTTGAGGTCGCAACTGCCGGAGTCACTCTTGTTGGATTCAGAGTGAAGAAGATTAAGGGTGCATTGGGCATTACGCATTTTCGTTTGTAGCTTGGCCCATTTCGAAGATTGTGAACAGGCGGTGGTCGGTGTGCGAAAACGATTGAAGCAGCGGAGAGCAGAGGTAGATTTTGAAGCTTTTGTGATTTTGAGGTCACTTGCAAGAGCTGGAGTTCTCGGGCCGCAGACCTCAGCTTCTCTCTTGGGTGTTTGGTCATCGCCGCGCATTGCACCAGCCACGCTGAGACATAATTTCCAATAATATCGAGTGGAGTTCGTGGGAAACTAGCTTGTTCGTGTCGCCATTTTTTGTTTCGTTGTTGACGCAGTAGTTGGGCATGTTCCAGTTTCGGCTCCCCTAGCTCGCATCGATTTGAAGCTTTTTCCCCATATGAAATTTGTGGGATCCAATTACTTAGATCTTGTGGATCAACTAGCGTTAGCATGCTATGCATACACAACCTCGCGAACGTAGTTTATTCTCGGATTAAGTGTGTGTTTGTGTCGACTCATTCTGCAGGTACAACCTTTTTTTGAGCTTTTAGTTCAACCGAGCATAATCTCGAGAACGGAGAAGTCATGATCATGATGGTTTTCGCTGCGAGCGGTTTGAACCGATGTCTCGCAGCACCAAAGTTCAGATAGCTGTGAATTCTAGGGTTTCAAATGTGGTGACAGGCCTGGAATTTAATTAAAAAATTCAGATCATTTGGCGCTGAAGAATCCAATTTTTGAAGAGCTCATGACGACGCTGCTTACGGAAGCCATTGCAAACCCTTTCAGATGAAATAGTCAACATACTACTTGGAAAAGTTGTAAAGATGCTGGACCAAGAGCTACAGATCGTCGCAGGTCGTAGGGCTACCTCCGCTGACAGGAGCGCCTTTGCGTCTATTTCACCTGAAGCTTCGACCTCCATAGACGTTACGAAGATGGGTGTGTATTTTATCCTCAACCTTTAAAGAACTTATCAACACTTTTCAAACATCTGTAGCAGCATGTGCGTTATGGTTGCGTTTTAGGTTATGACCTTGGTATTCCAATACTTTGTTGAATAATTTGTGACGCTGCATCTTTTAGCTAATTTGTTAAACGTTGGATCTATGTGCAGATGAACCTGTTTTGAAACCCCAAGACCCTGAACCAGAGGGGGAAGAAGTAGGTCTACTTGCAGACACGAATAACGTTCCTCAGTTTCAGAGGAAGGTACTTTCAACGAGGAAGAAACGATGGCAGCTGTTCGGAGTGGAGATGTCGCCGGACACCATCGCCATTGCCATGGTGTATTTTGTTCAGGGCATCCTGGGGCTGTCTCGTCTAGCTGTCAGTTATTTTCTTAAGGACGACTTGCATCTCGATCCGGCCGAGGTAAAGTTTTTGTACTTATTTCAGAGCCATGACGGCTGTATTATGTCAGCTTCAGTTGGACAATCGACGACCAGCTAATAAATGAAACGTTATCGTTTTTTCTAGCTTGCTTTCTCCACACACTATTGTGAGAGAATCGCATACGAGTGTTAAATGTAATTTTTCTAATTTCTACTGAGGATAGCATTATTTGCATTGTGATTTGTAGTACAAGTAAGGGTGTTTGTTTCAAGGTTTGAATTTATGTTTTGGCATATGAGCTGCAGGCAGCACTTTTGCAAGGCCTCTCTGCTCTTCCTTGGCTTATCAAGCCCCTATATGGATTCATCAGGTGCCTGAACCACTGGCTGAGGATTTTGCTGTGTGTGTGAGGCATGCATCTGTCATACATTTTATTTCAGAGACTACAAATTGCTATTTTACTGTAGAAGTGAGTGCAGGAATTCTTTTGTTTAATCAAAGCATCATACGCTCATGTCAACTTGTTTGTGATGCAGCGATGGAGTACCTCTGTTTGGGTATCGAAGACGATCATATCTTGTCCTATGTGGCTTGCTGGGAGCTTCGTCTTGGTTCGCATTGGCTACTGTAGTGAACAATAAGTATGCTGCTGTCTCTGCAATTCTCCTCAGCTCTCTATCAGTAGCCTTCTCTGATGTTGTAAGTATGAATCGACCATTGTCCATGGCGCTAGGCCGGGTGTCTATGCAGTATCCATGATACTAGTTGGTCAGATAAACTGTGTGTATAACCAGTTTTATACATGTGATTGCGTTTTACGGGTTCTTTTTACCTACTGATAATGAGCTAACGTCCTTTTCCAATCACATAACAAGGGCAATTTTCGACAGTGAAATTTGTCTTTCGCTGTTTCTTAGTGCATCTTTCAGAAGTTTTATTTTCAAATATGTTACTCTATATTTTAATTAGCTCCCAGAATAATTTCTTTATAAGACCTTTCATAACAAGTAGTGATTTGTGTAGGTGGTGGATTCCATGGTTGTCGAAAGAGCCAGAGGCGAGTCCCAAGTAACATCTGGCTCTCTTCAATCACTTTGCTGGGGTTCGTCTGCAACAGGAGGCATTGTAAGTGCGTACTTCAGTGGTTACTTCGTCGCCACATATGGTGTAAGGTTTGTTCAAAACAATCGCAACGCTTTCTTTGCTTTTCTTTTCTTTTCTCTTTTTTCTTTTTTTCTCAGTACTGTAGCTATCATGAATGTCAAGGTCGCTGGTTCAATACATCAGTTTTTGTTTACTATTGCTTAATCAGGTTAGAAGTTTTGAGTATGCCCTATCCAAAGGCGTTGGAATATTCATCAGCAACATACGAGCATAGAAAGCATTGTTAGATCAAGCTTCCAGCGTGATCATGTGTCCAGAATACTTAGCAAAATTATTGCGCTGGTTCTTTGCAGTTACACGTGCCAAGATAACATTTTAAATGTCGATCAATTCACAATGTATTGGCAGTTATGGTTACCTAATGATTGAACATCAGTATATGTCATATTTTTTGTAGGTTCGTGTTTGCTATTACAGCTCTCTTGCCCTTGATAACGTCAGTAGTGGCAATCCTCGTAAAAGAGGAGCGCCGACGCGCATCTACTGTTGTGGATCTAGAAGCACTTGAATTATCTGGAGCCAGTCCACGTCTGGGATTTTTGGAAACGTCAAGAAGCCAATTAATCTGTCTGTGGGCAACTGTAAAAGAGCCGAACATATTCATGCCGACTATATTTATCTTCCTTTGGCAGGCAACTCCAACGTCGGATACAGCTATGTTTTTTTTCACGTAAGAATTATTTTTGTCTCCTCATAGAACATTTCTTTAACTTCTAGCCGGAAAGGATTGACCGCATCATATAGCAAGCTTAACTTCATTTTCAAAGTTCAAATTCATTCTCGGTACTAATTGATCTTGTACTGCCATCGACCATGGCCCATGCTACATTGCTTTTTGGATGCAGGACAAACCAGCTTGGGTTTGGAGCAGAATTTATGGGCCGTGTTAGACTTGTTACAGCAATTGCATCTCTTGCAGGCGTTGGTGTTTACAATGCCTGCTTGAAACATGTTGCGTTAAAGAAGATATTTTTTTGGAGCACCATAGTAGGTACTCTTTTAGGTCTCACGCAGGTTAGTCCTCCTTCGCGAGCTCTTTTTTTGAAGTTATTGAAATTACGAACCAGCTGAGTTTTCATTCTAAAGTCTTAGCTCATGTATTTTGAGGTTCTGCATGCAGCTGCTCCTTGTCACGGGGATTAACCGCAAAATCGGAATTGGAGATCAATGGTTCACGCTGGGCGATACACTGGTGTTGACAGTTCTGGGACAGGTATTATATAATGGCTTCATTCACGAGTCTTTCTTTTTTGAAACCTAAATTTTCCTATCATGTACTTAAAACTAAGCGCCTACTCAAGATGATCTGCATGCTCCACTCTGCACTCGGTGAACCGGGACCTTCTTTGTACAGGCCGGGTGAACCTGTTCAGTAGGAGCAGATCTGTCAGATATTTGTAACAGAACTGCATACATCACTGAACCCAAAGTGTTCTAAGATTCTTGGAACTATCATGTCGTAACCCTCTGACGTGTAAAAGATAAATTCAGCAATCCTCGTGAATTATACCCTAGAGTACGGAAGTAGAAGACATTAATTAGGGGTATTAGGTTCTACAACACTATTTATCACATATCTGCGTATGCTGAAGGTTCTCGCATGTAGTTTGTTACCATCCACTACACCTATTTATTCCATACATATAATGCTCTGTTTGGAGTTCACCATATTTGCGTCTTGTTTGAAGATCAAGTTTTTATTTGTTTTATTTTATTGTTTTATTAACTGTGCTAGTTTGTAACAAAAACTGTATGTGTTGGGGTGGGCTTCAATGTTTGACAGGTTTCATTCATGCCAATTCTCGTCTTGGCGGCAAGGCTTTGCCCACCAGGAGTAGAAGCCACTCTATTTGCAACCCTAATGTCCATCTCCAATGGGGCCAATGTGACTGGCGGCTTTTTCGGGGCAGGACTGACTAAGCTGTTGGGAGTGACCAGCCAGAGCTTTAAGCACTTGGCGCTACTGTTGGTTATTTGCAACTTGTCATCTCTATTGCCTCTGCCCTTCTTAGGCCTTCTTCCCTCAGAAAGTGACATGGATGCTGCAGTTGAGAAGGCAGAGAAAGCTCTTCTAGGTACCGGAATTTCAAAGAGAGAGTGACTAGCCTGTGGTCTGTTTATCTAGAATGAACTCCAGCCTTGGCACATGGCATAGTTTCACACCGTTCAAATTAGGCCACCTCATGTATTGAGATTTGACCCTTCTCGTGGACTTACTCAAACTTGCGTGGAGTTTCAAATGGATGCCATCAAGTTCACTGCTGGAAGTCTTGTTTGTATTTTTAAAATTTGTTTTCACTCACTTGTCTGTGTCTTCTAAGCAGAGAGGAGGCCAAGCTGGGTAGCTTTAGAGGAAAGGAACAGCAACCCCACCCTGGAGCCCATGAAACATTAGGACAAGTAAGCTCGAAGTAAGCGAACCCAAAACTTGCCCTTCTCTGCACAATGCAGAAACCTTATATTCCACAGTTTCGCTTCCAGACCTCAATCTCCATCTATTTATTAAATAAGTTGGATGAGCGCAACATCATCTTGATGTTGCCATTAGTAATAGCGTTGAGCATGTCAAGCTCGTTTTCATAGCTCTACCCGCATTAATTTATGTGCGTTCCTCCGACAAAGCATTGGAGACATTCTCCATCTCTTAGATTTGCAAGTAATAGGTCTGCAATGGATCCTGCTTTGGCCTTTGCATCCACCCACAGAAAAAAGACGGCAGATTGCCTAGAGATTGATTCATTCGTTTTTTCGTGTTTAATAAGCTACCAGGTGCATCTTGTGGCTGGTGCAAATTCTTCTCCCATCTCTTCCCTTTTCCTACAGGAGTGCCTTCCATTGGGACCCATTATTATGCTTATCTTTAGCTTACCCGTTATTTAGTTTATCTGCTAGATTGAAAGTCTTGTTGCTACACCGCGCTCTATGCTTGAAGCAAGCTGAGCTCCTGTTTCAACTTGAATGGTTGAGGCATTGATGATGAATTATTTTACAGACCAATAGTCTTCCTCCACGTTCTACCCACAATACTCACAGAAATAAAGCGAGATATTTGTGTGAAGATATTTGTGTTAAGATGGTGGTTAGTCCTCATAGCTCTTTAAGCACTTTCGTACATTGCAAAGATATCGTCTTTTATCCCATTTTGGATTAACTCTTTGAAGTAATGCTTACATATACACATGTGCTCCAAAATGACCTTGAACTTCCAAAAACTGACAGAAGTAGCTGCCTAAAAGATAAGCAATCTTACCTCTACAGAAGCGAGTGTCTTGTCTCTCAAATGCAAAAACATCATTAGGCTGGATGTCAATGATTTTGAGAAATTATGTTATTTAAAATCGAATTTCTGAGGTTGAACGGGTGATTAAATCCTGATATAAAAGAGTGCCTAAATCATGAAATATTGGTCACTGTGAAACTCATGATCTGCAGTCCAATTTTTTTAATGTCATAGTAATAGTTCTGAGCTCTTGCAGAATGCAATGTTTATGATGAAAAAAAGAAAAAGAAACTCTAAAAAAGATAGTAAATTAATGTTGCTTTACACTAGCATGCTCTAAGAAGAGAATTGCTAATGTTACATCTCCACTAGATATTTATGCACCCCTTGTTACCTCCACATGACTTGAACTGACTAAAAAGCATGCTTCTATGCTTAGGATGCATTTGGCACTCCAATATGGGCCCAAAAATAAACCAACTAAAAAAATAAAAAAAATAAAAGCAAAATTTTGAATTATACAATTTTTGAGGTAAATATTTTTATATATAAAGAAAGATGGCTTGAGACCTATTTTTTCATAAAATATTCACAATCTCCCTCTCAACCACCACTCTTTCTTAAAACAAAGAAAGGAAAAATTACACAAAAGATAAAGGCATATTATTAGTTAGTTGTCTACAAGGTCACATGAGTTGTAGTGATATAAATTCAGGATGTAGCATTACTAATTCTCTCTCAGAATCGTAGATAAATATGTATACATGAATGTGTTTCAACAAACATAGAAAGCTTATGATTCAAACTATGATTCAAATCATGGATCTTTTGAGAAAAACACAAGTATAAAATTGAAAAGGCAACCCACGAAACAAGATGGATCAAAAAACTTAGACACATTAACACTTGCTTTGACACTGTGAGTGCGGACGAGGCTAACTGCGTTCACATGGGAGAGAGGTTGGGCAGTGGTAGGGACGAGCGATTTGTGGCTCTCTCGTCGGAAGTGTGTGAAGAAGAGGATGATGGACATGGCCGAGCTGGGATGATCGGAGCTGCTACTTGCTGCTGCTGTGGGAGGGAGGGAAGGAGACGATGGTTGGAAACGTGGTGATTGCTAGATCAATGACTGTAGCGAAGGCGATGGCGCCAGCGCCCACGAACTTGAGTTGGCACCATGGATTTGTGGAGCGGAAAGAGAGGCAGGGTTTGTTGAATCAGAAAGGGTGCGTGGTGTGGATCACGGGGCTGAGCGGAAGCGGGAAGTCGACTGTAGCGTGCGCTATCGATCACGCTCTGGCGCGCATGGGGAAGCTGTGCTACGTGCTCGACGGCGACAACGTGCGGCACGGGCTGTGCAATGACTTAGGGTTTTCGGTGGAGGATCGGGAGGAGAACATCAGGCGCGTCGGGGAGGTGGCGAAGCTGTTCGCGGACGCGGGCCTCGTGACGCTAGTCAGCTGCATCTCCCCGTACAAGCGGAACAGGGAGTTCGTGCGCGGGCTGCTGGATAAAGGAGAATTCGTCGAAGTGTACATGAAAGTTCCAATTTCGATTTGCGAGAAGCGGGATTGCAAGGGGTTGTATAAGCTGGCTCGGGCCGGGAAGATTAAGGGCTTCACGGGGATTGACGATCCTTACGAGGTGTCGGATAGGCCGGAGGTCACGTTGGAGGCTACGAATGCTGCAGGAGAGCTCATCACGCCGGATTGCATGGCCGAAACCGTGATTGACTATCTCCTGGGCCGTGGCTTGCTTAACGGGCCGTGCTTATCAAACATGTAACGTCGATTGTAAGGTTTTGTGTCGAGAGCTATTTTAGTAGCTTTGTGAAGAATGCTGGTTTGCTGTCCTAGCGACTACGTTTTCCAGCGTTGAAGCTGCTGAGCGAGGCTCCTGCGTCAATGGCACTTGAAAAGTTGAAAGTAGCTTTCTCGTAATTTACAGCCAGATGTAAGTATAGGCAGTGCATGTCATGTTATAACGCCCTTGTTATAATGACAATTAGGCAGCAAAGGATTTAAGCATGTTCAGTACATTATTGCCAGGTTACAACGCCTTGTTGTAACGGCATTTAAATAGCAAGGGTTGCAAGCATATCCAATAAATCATTGCCAGGTTCCAACGCCTTGTTGCACCGGCAATCAGATAGGAATTGTTGTAAGCATATTCAGTTCATCGTCGCCAGATTACAACGCCTCGTTGTAACGACAATTAGACAGCATGAAAAATCTGCGCTTTGTGTGAAGGGAGGATAGTTATTTCGAATGATGTTTTCTTTAGGACTCAAGCGCAAGCTCGGATTGAATCATGTGTTTTGGACCTGCTCTAAACTATCGTGTAAGGATTATATTTGGGATAATACCACTCTATGGAGTATGAGAGTTTGCCCACTTCAGGTCCAGGGTAGAAATCTGGCCCCTATACTTTGTTTTGCAGCTGATAGTCCTACACTCATTGATACTCTTCATACGCAGCTCCGGCTCCAGCAAACTGATCTCCGGCAGAAATCGATCCCGATGAAGGTTTCTGGAGCTCATTCTAGACATCCTTTACATTCAGCTCCATGTTTCTAGGTTATTGTTATCATTATTATTATTATTATTATTATTTTGTATTTTTCTCGAACAAGAAATGCTTAACTACAGAGCAAACATGAACAAGTCGATGACTTGCTGGCGGTTTTACGCTAAAGGTGTCAGTTAACGCCGTAGACCTAATCACGGATGCTTTACGGCAGTTTATTTTCTCAACTTTCCTCCAAGCTTTGGTTTGCCAAGGAAAACACCTCTTGGCTAAATATCTCGACGGTGCATGAAAGTGAATTATTGAACACTTGCTCAGAGCTTGTTTCGCAGTTCAGACCCATTTTAGAGCTTCAGAACAAACAATTGTTTCCTACCCAAACCTTTCTCAGGACTCAGTAAGGGTCGCAGTGTGAGGTTCCTGTTGCACAGTGTGCAGGTTGGCGTCCTATTCACTTTGCTGAACGAAATCTTTGAAAGTTTTATTCTGTAACAATCTATTTAATGGTCAGACAGGTAAACCTACTTTTGACAAGTCTGTGAACGGCACACGCTAAGCACCGCTCCAGAGACACCCACGACATTTCCGCGCATTATGATCAAGAACACGTCCATGCGAGATTCACGGACATACTATTCACTTGTACTCGTTCGTGTGTTAACAGTTCTTTTAAATCAGTTGACGTCCGATTCAATCTCTGAACCTCACAATTGCTTGTAGATTCTAACCCTATTTTTCATGTGCCTAGCTTCAGAAACAATAATTTAATTGAGGCAATGCATTAAATTATGCTCAGGTACACTTGTCCTTAATTCAAAGTAGGGATAAGCCCACGTGTTGACCTTTCATGTTTCTGTCTGAACAGTGCGTCTTCCCTGAAACTCTGCAAGCTCGGATGCAGCCAAGCGTAATCTCAAATTTCGAGATGTATCGATCGCTGAGTAGAATTGTCCGAACCTGGACCAAAACCCGAGACAATTTCCAAATTTATTTTGATCTAGTTTAAGGCACGTGCACCTACTTTCAATGAATAACTACTGCAGAGTGGTGTGCATGATGGTGCTTGTTGATGAGTGACTCCTCTTCCAACTCTATCTCATCTTTATCATTGTTTATATATCTCCCCTCCCTGAGGTCATTCATGTTCATGTAGTTTACTACGCTACATTATATACGATGACCCAAATTCTTGGCCCTCTCAATCTAATCTACTGGCAATTAAAATTGTTGCTTACACTCCGTTAAAAAGAAGCCATTTTGTAGAAACATCGAAATTCCTCTGGTTCCAAAATTCATGAAAGAGATTTAGTTGGGTTCTGTGCAAGCTTGAGTGAGCCCTTTTTAGTGAAAGTACTTAGAAATTTGTAAAGCTTATGATTGGTTGAAATCAAGAAGTCTATCTTAGTTGGTTTTATAATTAACAAAATAAACCAAGAAGTCATTGGAGGAAATAATGAGGTGAAATGTATTTATTTTTCTACATTGCATGAGTAGTATTGTTCTTTAGAATTTGTAATAGGTCCACTTCAATGAATGCTTTTTTACAAAATTTTGAGAAGTTGGGTCAAATTTTACTACTAAAAATCATAACAAAAAAAAATCATAACAAAAAAATAATTTGGTGCATGTAATGGTTTTTTTATTTTTTTATTATTTTAATACCTTTTCAAAAACTAGAAATTTATAAAGAACAAGATTTCTAGAATTTAAAGACCTTCTAAAATATGTAGATTTTTATTGTGAAGATTGTTGTGTGTTGAATGCATGATGTCAATTTTTTATTATAATAATATTCTATAAATTATATAATGCATGATTATATGGCTCATAAATCTTCTTAAAAGATATATTTTAAATGTATTGATTTTAAAAAACTAAAATTGATATTTATTATGCATACTAAAAAGTAATTTTTAGTTTATTTTTATATTCAAAAAAATGATAAGTATGTATAAGAAGTATATCTATTTATATATATAAGAAAATGATAAAGCAACTCAAAATTTTACTAAATTGACTCATATGTTTAAACTATCATTGTGTTCTTTCAACTATGTCTCCATTCCCAACGATTTCCTTACTCCCAATTATCGCTCTTGTTTCCAACATTCTCAGCACCTCTGCTCCCTTTCTTAGCAATAGTTGGAAGTGAGGAACAGTTAGAAATAGAGATGGAGGCTATAAGGGCGCAATGATGGTTAAGATAGAATAAATTGTTTTAGTATAAATTTGGGTTGCTTTATCATTTCCCTAAATATATATATATATATATATATATATATATAAATGTTAAAATGACCCAAACTTTTGTTAAATCAATCCACCTATTTAAACCATCATTGCACCCTTTGTTTCTATCTTCATTTCAATTCTCCCATCTTCTACATGTTTGCTTTATTGTTATTAGCTTCTAAGAATTATAAAATTCCACTCGCAATAAGAGAGGAGGACATGAATTTATCAGAGCATATTGTCCACAAGTCTACAAATGCAATTGCTTCAATAATGCTCAAACAAAGCCTTGCGAGTTCTGAGACTTCATTTGGTGTTTGTAGCGAGTTTTGATTGTTTGCTAGTTAATTTGCTCAACAACTTCGTAAATGCTCATAATCATAAGATGTAATATGCAAGCTTGTAGGGTGGATTGGCTCATATCATATTACAAGTTCACAACATTAGTCCAATAAATTCCTTGAGGATATTGCTATACATCACTTATAAATCTCATTTAAATTGTAAATGAGATTTACAAGTGATGTAAAGTTTTTTTCTTTTGTTATTGAATTATGTCAAGAAGCTCCAACAAAAGCTCCTACATAGATCACTATTATGCATGTGTTTCTAATAACTTTGACAATTGTTTGATGTGTGTTGATCTCAATGATAAGGACATATATTTAAAGCTTGAGTGATGGAATGGCAGCCAAAATTAGTTTTTGCAAGTGAAGTAGTCCATGTATTCTTTCTAAGCAAGAAAGTATGCATCACAAAAGGATTACGAAACTATTGACATTGTTGAGTGCTACTACAAACATATTTGTTTGACCAATATCAAAGCACAACCATGAGTTGATTAGGAAGAAGCTCAAAATGTTTACAACCCGAACATTAGTATATCTCGAGACCAATTGAAACACAATGAATGTCAAGGTCCACACAAGGTGCTAGGTAAGGCAAGTCAATCAGAATTTTAGAGGGCCTTGCTTCACAAAGTTTGTAGTTTTAGTTTATTGAAACATAATTTGCCTATTGGATCAAGCGAGATCATGAATAGGGTTAAAACGAAGCGATGATGCAAGAGAGATTGGTTGTTGAGATGCTAGGATTGCTCTTGATTGTGGCTCTTTTCATTAAAACTTTGATGACCTTTTCACCATCAATTGCTGAACAATTGCAGTCAGCAAATCAATGCACATTTTTGTCTTTGAACTACTTTCCATAATTCTCTTTTCAAGTCCGATTCAATAAGATTTCTAAGATTATTCAAATATGAATGAAATACTCAAAGAAATGTTGTACAAGTTTCAACCAACAAAATTACCACATTTAAGAATCATAATTTTGTATTATAAAAGTGATAAAAGAATAAAAGAAAAAAATAATATTTTTAATATATATATATATATATATATATATATTTATATTGAAGAATGTTAAATATATTGAAGAAATACTATAAGCATAACACAAGTAAGTAAAAATCAGCAAGGTTGCACATAAGAGAAGTGTGGAATGAGATGACTCTTACTTCCAACACCAATTACTTATAATTAGAGTTCACATCCAATATGTATAGAATTCATCCACATTCATCTATAACTAGCCGCCACTCGAGATCCTAAACTTAACCGCCTCTCGAGACTCTAAACCTAGCCGTCTGTCAAGACATTAAACCTAACCGAGTGTCGAGACCCTAGCCGCCACTTAGTCCTTAGTTGCCTTTGACCATTAGCAACTTATCTAAGAGAATATTCTCTATAAGATAACTTATTTTACTTTTACTATTACCTATTTATCTCAACATCTTTATCTTTTACCTCAACACTCCCACTTTGCTAATTGTCAAAGCCCTTCTAACCTAATGCCTTTGTCAACATATGATGTCTATCTTTTATCAATGCCTTCGTTAACAAATCAGCAAGCATATCTTCTGTTGCACAATACTTCAAGTCAATCACTCCCATTTCAATCTTCTCTCTTATAAAGTGATGTTGAATGTCAATGTGCTTGGTTCTTGAATGATGCTTTGGATTCTTTGCAAAAGCAAGGCATCCTTGATTGTCACAATTCAATAGAGTTGCTTCCAATTGCATAAGTCCAATGTCCTCCAAAACTTGCCTTAACCATGTTGCTTCCATTGCACTATGGCTTTCTGCCATGTACTCCGCCTCCATTGTGGACCTTGCAATTGTGGGTTGCCTCTTGCAATTCCATGAAATTTCTCCCACTCCAACAAAGAATACATAGCCCATTGTTGACCGCATATTATTTGTATCTCCTGCCCAATCCGCATCACAATAACCATGCAAAGCAATACTTTCACCTCCAAGGCACAATTTGAAGTCCAAAGTGCCTTTCAAGTACCTCATGATCCTCTTGATGGTTGCCCAATGAAGTGGTCCTGCTTTTGACATGTGTTGACTTACGACACTCACCGCATAAGCAAGATCCACCCTTGTGCCAACCATTGCATACATGAGTGACCCAATTGCTGCCTTGTATGGAAAACCTTGTATTTGGCTTTCAACTTGTGCAAACTCTTCATCCTTGAGCTTCTTCAACTTCAAATTGGACTCCAAAGGTGTTCCAATAGGCTTGCAATCCTCCATGCTGAATCGTTTCAACACTCCTTCAATGTACTTCCTTT